GGCCCGGATCTACCATACCAACTACGTGAGGAATGCGCGGGCCATGGGAGTGCTCTGGGCCCTCTTCACCCTCTGCTTCTCCATCCTGATGGTGGTGACCTTCATCCAGCCGTACTGGATCGGCGACAGCATCGACACGCCGCAGGCCGGCTACTTCGGCCTCTTCTCCTACTGCATCGGCAACGCGCTCACCGGGGAGCTCATCTGCAAGGGCAGCCCCCTCGACTTCGGCACCATCCCTTCCAGTGCCTTCAAAACTGCCATGTTCTTCGTAGGCATATCCACCTTCCTCATAATTGGCTCCATCCTCTGCTTCAGCCTCTTCTTCTTCTGTAACGCAGCCACTGTCTATAAAGTGTGTGCCTGGATGCAGCTGGCAGCAGGTGAGCAGGGCTGGGGCGATGCACGGGAGGGGCCGGGAGCTGCCCATGATCCGACCAGAGCCGCTTTTCCCTTTTTGCCCCCACCTCGACCCTGCTGAGAGCGGGGCTGGCCTGTAAAGAGACACCTGTGTCACCTTCATGCCATTTGCTCTCCCTTACTGGTTACCAGTGTGGAGTTTGTAGTAAGTAAAGCCTGTCAGAGCAGCTGAGACACAGCAGACTCACTGCATGTTGGGCGATGCGTCCCCCTGGGTGCTGCTGCTGCAGCAAAACCGCGTGGCACCTCCGGCCCGGCCCCGGCTTGGCTCCACTTACCTGGAGGAGCTTCCCTCCAGCCAGCGCTCCTGCTCAGCCCCACCGTGCAGCGAGCTTGTGGCTTTGGAGTATCAGTTGAGAGCACAAAAACCCCCGCAGGGCTGGGGCATGGAGCTCCCTGCTGTGTTTGGAATCCTGAAGGAATTAAGCAGGGAGACAGTGATAACATTTACTGGGCTATTTTAATAACTCTGTGGGCTCAGGGAATAATGTACTAGGAAGATGGAAGAGGAGGAGGAGACTGACTGTATGACTTGGTATCATCACTCGCATTTTCCTACTTTTCTGCTCACCCCTGTGGATCTCCAGCCTTCCCCACCTCTCTCCCAGTGCACTTGAGACACCTGGTAACCCAGCTCCTGTTTTTGATCAAAGCCTCAGCTGAAACCCAACCCAGCCCTTTGCTGCTCCTGAATCATTCATGCCACAGTTCCCAGGGAAGGGACAGCCCAGCTGACACCCCGTGAGACATCCATCAGGGTTTCTCCAGCTCCTAGCTAAAGAAGCGAGCTCAAGCAAAGATTTAGATAAGAGGCTTGGGGCAGCTCAGCATCCTGGGGAGCTGAACTGGAGCAGGGAAAGGTTTTGCTGTGGTATGTGGGGCTTTTACCTGTATTTATTTTGTTCTGGATGGGGGAAGAGAAACATGTCACAGGCAGAACTGGTCAGGTGCTGCTGCATTTTAGGAATTACTTTACAAAGGGGGCGGGCTTAGAGAGGATTCACTTCCTGGCCTTTGCTGTGCACCAGGATGCATTTTCACAGAAATTATTTCATTTCAGCTTTCCCCATTTCTCTGTGCCTCTCCTTTCAGTTAGTTACAGGGAAGATTAATTAAATACAGAATAAACCAGCTGCTTTTCAGTGAAGAGAAATCTTCCCTGCAGACCAAGGAAGCTGCCTGCTCTCCTTGCTGCTCGCTTGTCCCCAAGCCAAGGAAAAAGAAAACATCGGAAAAGGACAAAGCAACTGCCTCAAAAGTCTTTTCTGGTTTACTGAGCACCCAGTGACAGAGAAGAGGCACTGGTGTGGGGCAAGGTGCATCTCACTGGTGCAGGAGGCTGCAGATGTCCAAGAGGGGCATGGACAAACATCTGCTTGTCCAGAGGTCCCACCATGGGGTTGTTTCTTGTGTGAGAGGAGTCGGGAACAGCCCTGCATCTGCACCAAAACACATAAAACACGAATTACTTCTATGCTCTGCACCAAGATAACAGTGGAGGATGTGAAAGGCCTCTGTTAATCATGTCCCAAAGCCTTATAGATGAACTCGTCTCTTATCCCAAGCCCGGTCACTTTTCTTGTCCAGTAAATACAGCAGTTTTTCTGGCATGTTAGGAGGGAAAAAAAAGTACTTCCAAGGTTTTGGGACAGGAGCTTCAACAGCCTGCCAGCACCAAGGTTGTTGCAACTCTTGTGGCAAAGCTGCAAAGGTGACATGCTGAGGGCCCTGGGGCCAGGCTAGCTCAGCTGTTGAGGTCGTGGGTGCACTGAGAACAGTCACAGGAGGAGCTGATGTGTTGTGGCTGGGCAGGAACCACCACAGCTGAACAAGCAGAATTAATCTGCCTGCAAAGCTGCTGCTGACACCAGCTCTAACTTAGCAAACCCTAAGCTGAAATCAGCTACTTGCAGGGTGCTAGGAAGGTTCTCCATCTTGCACAGACTAAACCCATTCCAGTTTTGTTTGGAGAAAACATTCCTTTGAAGTGACATGGCCAAGGATGCATGCAGAGGCAGGAGAGATGTTGCTTGGGCAACAGAGTGATGGGAGATGCTGGTGCAGCATGTCCTTGACTTGTGGGAAGGCAGCATACTGTATCCTGCTCCTCCCCAGCTGTGGAACAGAGCAGAGCCCACAGTGATGGGCAACCACAGGGCCCCTTTAAGCCTGGTAAGCCAGTCTCTAGTGCCTTATCTGTTTGTAGCGCTGCCTTTGCAGCCATGCTCCTCCACCTCCCAGTATCAGCTCAGGACGCAACTTGTGGCCACTGTAATGTCCCCCAATGGCAACGTGTGTCCCTCTCCCTGCAGCTACTGGGCTGATGATTGGCTGCCTGATCTACCCTGACGGCTGGGACTCGAGCGAGGTGAAGCGCCTGTGTGGGGACAAGACAGACAAATACACGCTGGGTGCCTGCACCGTGCGCTGGGCCTACATCCTCTGCATCATTGGCATCCTCGACGCTCTCATACTGTCCTTCCTGGCCTTTGTGCTGGGGAACCGGCAGGACAACCTCCTCCCATCCGATTTCAAAGTGGAAAATAAAGGTAAAGACAGCTAGGGCTGAGCTCTGGGGTCCTGTCCTGCTGCAGTGTTTCAACCACCCAGCTCATTGCTGTTATTTGGGAGGATGCTGGCTTCCTTCCTGGCATAGTCATCACACTGCTTCATAGGGATGGAGAGCCAGCAGCAGGCGGAAGACTGATGGAGAACAAGGCAGGAGCCCAAATGGACCCGTACTAACTTTCACAGGCATGGGGCTTTCTCCTCATCCTGTTTTAAATTGTTTTCTCCCTTTTTGAAAACAAACCTGTAAAACACACCAAGTACTTTTGAGTTTTATACCACACCCCATTAACACTGTAATTATCTTTTTGTTTTACAGAAGAGGGAAATGACTGACAGAGCTCATTACCACGTAAGTGATACCCACAGACTTTTAATGTTTCTTCCCAGCATACATAATGTTGCTGTTGTATTCTGATTACTAAATGATTGACAACTGGTTTTGGTGCTATAGTCACATTGGTTTTATTTGTGGTTAGAGAGGAAATAGTCTTTGCTTTGCATCCCAGAACTGGGAAAACATAAACCCTTGCCAAATGATGAAATAACACAAGCTTAAAATTTGAAGTCATACTCCATTTGGCAACAGCTGACTTATTCTTTTTGTTCCCAGGAAGACCCAGAGCTCTTCTTTCATCAGCTCTTTTCTTTAAAGTGACTTTTCTAGGAGATTTAAACTTACCAAATTCTGTGGATTTTCTACAAGTTTTCTTCACCCATGGGGCTGCTCTTGGCTCACAGCTCTCGTGGAGTTTATTTGATGGGAAGAGCCCAAACTGGACATGGGGTTTTTCTGAGTCCTGGGTAAGAGGGGAATGACAGTGATTTGCTGCTTTTTTTGTGGAGTTTGTACACTTTCTTTCAAGGAAATTACTTATGAATAAAAAGTAAAATAAAAATCAGTGTTTTGGATTTTGTGCTAGTCTGCTCAGGGCAGAGGAAACCCTCTGTCATGTCCCAGATTGCACTTTTACTTGAAAAATATGATGACAGCCAATTCCTACCTGAGCGGTGAATCAGTTTCCCACTCTATGCAACAATAACCAAAAGGGCAGTTTCCTGGGAAAAGAAAAACCAAACAACAAAACCAAAACCCAATCTGCTGGGCTGTAGCAGGCCTGTAACAGCACCTGCAAACCACAGCAGATGGTGCCAGTCACTGCACCACCCCATTAACTTGATTTAGCCATCATCTCTCATCCCATCCAACACCCGCCCACGGCAGCCTGTGGCACAGTCCGTTTCTGCAGAAGATAAAGCAGAACATTCTCCTGTCCAGCTCTTACCTCGTCAGAGCCCAAAATTAGCCTACATTATTTTAATTTCTACTTGCTGTAATTTGTTGGTTCATGTAGCAGTCAATTCTAATCAGTTCCAACAAGTACCTTACAATTTTATGTTTCCTTCTAAAAAAGTGTCTGGGAAGGTTTTGTTAATATTCTTGGCTAGGGAAGACAGCAGAGATACGACAAACTTAAAGAAAAATGTATTTTAGAATGGAAAAATTCCAGCAGAGTTGTCCTGCTGTTTATTACTCTTCCCCCCTTTTTGAAACAGATCACAATACCAGCAACAAAATCCTCACCTACACCATCTCCCTCTGTCTCATTCTGGAAATCACTCACTATTGAAGCAAATTTCATCCACGGGCCACTGACTCAGAAAGAACAGACTTACAGAGGGAATGTATGAAGACTAGGGTTCAGTTATTAAATAATCTGTTTATTGTAGGGCTTTCACAAAGAAAAAAAAGACAAAGCACCCAAGTAGAAAGAATAAAAATGTATTTTCCTTCAGGTTTTAGACTGACACAGCAAGTACAAATCCTTTAGTGTGAGCACATTACAGCAACTTGGAAATTTAACAAACCCCAAGTGAATAAGCAGACAGTACAAGACTGAATTGTGGCAGCTGCTTCTGCAGGTCTTTAACTCCCAAGCTGGCTCTAGCCTTAGCTATCTGGGTAAAAAACCTCCTCCTCCAGTCAGGGGTGGCAGATGAAAGGGAAGAAAGGATGGGCAGGAGCTCTTAAGAGTCAAAGCTTGCAGACCCCTTCTAGGAAATGTTCCTTCATCAGCCAGTCTCAAGTACGCAGGACTGGTCAAGCTTTCAAGAGCACAGGAATTGTTTGCCTGCCAATGTATCTTCACAGTAAGTTGGAACCCAGTACTGTCTGCAGTCCTGTAACAGATACAGAAGAGACCTAGAACTGGAAAACTCCAGATGAACGGGGGAAAAAACCTGTTAAATCAGCCATTTGAAACGTTTTTGGTATGTTACCTGCCTTTCGCTTTATATTATATGCATAGAGAATCTGATCTACCACTAAAGGAACATGCAGCATGATTTGCATAAATAAGCCCCATCAGGCTCTGAACCAGAGAAACTCTTTTCCAGTGGATTAAATGATCCGGTTTATGAATGAATGATCCTTATAAACCAAAATTTCCAAACACACACATAGAAGTGACACGTAACAGTGATCTTTGCAGCTTTGGCAATGTAATTGTCTTGGATAGCATCTGCATGGCCTCCAGCAACTTCTGTCCTCTGAAAGCCACCACAAATCCAAAGGCTTGTTTGGTCCAGAGTAAGGAAGTGCCTCTGAAGTCTCAACGCTGCCAAATCTTGCTTAGAGAAGAGTGGGATGCACTGAGTCTGTAATAGGATGGGCAACTCTAGAAGAAGCCATCATAAAACTAGCAAATGCCACAGTGATTTAACTTTTAATTAAAATTAACCCATTTAACTCATTATATCCAAACCCCCTCTGAGAAGTTTACATAGAAGCCCCATAGAACACTTTTTACTTGGGGTAACTCTAGAAACAGCTTCTAACCCAGTATCTACATGGAAAAGTCAATTCTCTTCCACTTCTGCTAGCTCTTCCTGTGCTAATGGCCCAGAAAATAAAAGGCAGTCCCATCCTGGGAAGTTATTTCTGAAGGCCCGCACTTGAAGCAAATTAAGAGAAAAGAAATCTTTACAGAGATTTCAAGTTTTAATTTTGAAAGTCCAGGGCTATGGCATGGCTGTGATACAGGCGCTGCAACCCTTTCCTTGGGAAAAAGTGAATGGTCAAAAATTAAAAGTCAGAGTAAACTGCATCTGTGAAAGGCAGTCTTTCACAAATACAGTAACCACCTCAAGCAAGGCAAAAAAGTGCCAGTTAGGGATAAAAAAATCCCAAAACCTTACATCTTGCTATAATGTTAAGAGTTGCCTGCAACAAGGCTCTCACTTTGCAGACCAAGGGGTGAACCCATCTGTGTGCTGAAGATTGTGCGTTCAGTCAGTTCCAGCTTTTGCTTATTTTGCTTGCCTTTTAGTCACAGGCATTGAAGTAGAAAACATCACCAAGTTCAGAAACTATTCTACCAAGGGTATGGGGAAGGGAAAGGTTAATGGACAGGACACTTTGGAGGAAGAAATAAAGGATACTAAAACCTAGGTTTAAAAAGCTTTTTCAAAAGCAGCTAGAACTAAATAAAAGTTTGTGACTGGAAAGAATGCAGTAGATACCTAGAAAGTGATGGAGGATTTCAAGGTCTTCGCTCTACAGGGATGTGGCACCACCTTGATGCCACCTGTTACTTCTCACCCCGTCACTAGCTATTGGATCAGGGAAATTTACTCCTGAGTCAGTGAGATCTTTGCATGGCCCTCATGAAGAAAGGAGAGTTGAAATCTAGCTAAGAGAGCACATCTGAGCACAGGTGAACTCACATCTGTAACACATGGTGCCTAACAGTGAGGAGACTGAGGGAAGATTTCATATTCTAGTCAATTAGTTTTTGGTGAAGCCCAATCAAGGCAAAACACAGATGATGCCCACTGGCTGAGGAAAGTCCCCATTAAGTCACACAAGCAAATTCAGCAGAACAGGTTAGATTTATCTAAAATCTTGGAAGCCTTGAAGGAAGAACTTCACACTGAAAGTGAACAAGGAGAACAACGGATCTGGGAAGGGGCAGCTGGGTGTGTGTAGGGTATGCTGTAAACCAGAGTGTAACGCTGTGGCACTGCACTGAAGCTTCTATGAATTAAGCCAAGGGTGCCTGAGACACTCTGCTGCTGTAGCTCGTTTCTCTGGGATCAGCTCCAACATAGGTAGTAAGAAGTCTGTGAATGCAGCTGCCTCATCTTGGGACCACTCGTATTTTTCCACCAACACTTCAAAAAGGCCCCAGGGCTTCAGTTTGGTGATGTGCTTCAGATCACCTGAAAACCCAAGACAGACAGGTTAAGTCTGGCAAGACATGGAAACAGAGCAGCTCAATAAAATAGGCTGAACAGCTAAACATGACAGATTGAATTCAGAAACTGTTCTAATAGTTGGGCATAGGGAATATAATGTGGTAGGGTATGCTGAAGGGGGAAGTAAATTACAGCAAAACCCCTTTTCTACTGCTTTGTAAGCGTATTACAGAAATGTACTTCCTTGAAAGGTTCTTTTTTCACCTCCTGCTATTTCAGATCCAATATAAGCAAATATTACCTTCATTAAATCACCAGCTATACTGCTTCGACATGACAGATAAACACTATGCCATTGACTTTGGAATACATGCAATGTATACTGCACTGTTTGAGAAAGCAATACGCTACTAAGAAAAAAGAGTTTGTTTTTATTAAAAAAAAAAAGTATTAAATTAGGTCAAAACCTACTTTTTCGACTCAATACATTTCTGGGGTACTTAGGGGTTTATGATAATGTTATGTGCTCTGAGCAACATGGCTCATGATGCAAGGCACTATTTAAGGTGACTGGCATGCTAGAAATGGAGTAAAGCTGTCTAGAGAAGTCTTCAAAAATGAGTCACCACCTCTAGTTGACAAAGATCAGCTAAATAAAGCTACATCAAGTTTGACTATGTACTGTTTTTCTACGTGCTACATTTGATCTACACCAAGATGTCAAGTACTAGGATGTAGGATACTTTTAGCAGTAAAACAAGAATGCCTTAGATTTAGCTGCAGTTTTACTGATGAAGCCTTTCATAAAACAAAGGAAAGACTTAAAGAGGCATCTTTGCTGGCAGTTCCAGCAAGACATTACTGTGTATTTGGGGTAGAAGATGAGGGGATAAGTGGTATTTCCTTTGTTTCCTTTTACCTTTTTTGGTGAAAAACTCCTTGGAATATTTTCCTGCCAAAATGAGCTTGCGAGGTATTTTCCCCAGAAGTTCTATGATCAATGCAATGTGATCTGCATGTTAAAAAAAACAACACCAAAAATACACAAGACATCTTTATGCTGCCGTTTCCTGTTCTGGGATATAAGAAAGACATTATCTGCCTTAAAAATGACTTTGATATCAACCTGAAATCAAGACTACACTAAGCAACAACAAAGCCAGGGGGCAAGGGGGGAAAAAAATAAGGGCAATTTGAAGCCCTGATCAGTTTGAGATGCAAGGTAGAGAATCCAGGAGCAAGAGGAATGTGAAACACCAGAACAAGAATATAGACTTGTGGCACAGTGTTTTACTGCAGAGGCTTTAGCACAGTTCCTGCGGATTTGGGTAAATAATGTTTTTGCAAGGAGCCTTTGCATTGCTCACTCAAAAGAGAAGGCTCATTCTGAAGAGGCAACCATTGAATTTCATGTCTCATTTTAAAAAGGGAAGACTTAGGCAAACAGACCTTCATCTCGTGAGTAATCTTCTCCAGAGTGAGGCTCAAACAGGTAGTCTCCTGTTGCTAACTCAAAGGCCTAAACAAACAGAAATGAGACATTAAATCACTTCAAAACACTGTGCAAACCTCTGTGGGCCATAAGCAAAGCGGTGGGAAAAAATAAGATTATAGCTGTGTACGAGATTTTTGCAGGTTAAGTACACCATTACAGCCTAAGATGTGCGATGACTTTGCACCATTCTAACAACTCCATTAAAAACATCATAGGCACA